CAGTAAACATTAATTAAATTAACACGAGTTCATCGTAAATGATTTAATATTATATTTTGCTCGTTGCAGAAATTAAAAACTGAACTGCTCGGCATCGCGGCGCTCCCGGCGCTCCGGCCACTCCCGCGGGATCTCGTTAGTATTTCTATTGCTGCGACAGCTTAACTGAAAAATGCTACTTTTTACACTGACAACAATTTAATCGTTATACTTTCCTTTGATATTTTGCACCTTTGTGATCCCTAGTCATATCTATATTAAGCATAAATAAGTTAACTTTAGTCAAATCTAAGCATGTTTGCGCAGCTTTGCTGCTGTTATAGCTGTTTGAACATAATTATATGATACTTCCTGGTTGTATGATCTCGTAATTACTAACGCTAAAATATAGCTGCGGTGTTGTGAAGCGAGCTAATGGGTTTTACAGAGAAGATGATTTAGGTTTACGATAACAATAAATTCTCTGTTAAAAATTACTGCTCACACAAAAAAATAGCGCTGAAAATTAATTAGTTTGGTCATTGATATGTAAACCAATCTTAAAAACAGGGAATTCCATCTAGTGATATCTACCTAGATTCAAGTTATATATATCTGACGAAGTACCTCAACATTAGCACGTTACATCAATACGTTATCTTTTGGCACATTAAGTAGAGATCAGTAAGTTTTATTGCAGTTGAGGCGCGGCGATGTGAAGTGTTACGCAATGTAAGTGCGCTAATACAAGAACAATAGCAGCCTGGGAACATACGGAGTAACCTTTATTAAAACTATATCAGATGCGCACAAATCATTGTATTCTACTTACGAACATTTCATTGGCTATTGTTATCTATTTACCCCATACTAAAACATCACGTAGCTTTTTCGTTTTCATCGCCTTTTACTCGCGAGGATAATCTACAATTATACTACTAAGTTACTAACGATTGAAATTTCGGTACCGTCATATTGTCCTACATGTGAGAAACGTATATATAATTATCCTTAATAAGTCACGTTGGAAAAAATGGCATCGAATTTCTGACAAACTAAAAGCCTGCGTAGCGAGTCAGAAAGTCGTTCTACCCCACTTTGTATGCAAATTGGCAAAACATCGGTGGCACGTCCTACATATTTAAGCCAACATATGTAAAAGTAGTAGGACGACTAGAAAAAAATATTATACGTATATAGATAAATTCTAAAATACGTTTTTGAAGAAAACTTAAATCCTCAATTGATAAATAATATATATAGGACATCGTGATTTCAATGTGGTTCTGTTGTAAAGTTCCTTAGCCTCATAAATAGTGATCGTATCACGAAAGTTAATTTGCCGTGAAAAGAAGCTTTAACGTTATTTTACGGTCAAACACTCATTGCAAAAAGTACGGGCCATTAGCTGCCGATAAACTTTATCTATTCCAAGCAGACGAAATCAATAACATGACCGAGCTGCGGCGAAAGCAAAAAACTTTTAACTACATTGAAACAATGAAGTTTGCACAAAATTTTACGAAAATGAGCGATTAAACACTAAAAACAATGATAGGTATAAAGAAAATTTATGACAAAAACCTTATATATTAATACAAAGAAGTAGTGAAAAAACATGAAATTACAAACAAAATAAATAAAGAAGATATAATCATAGATAATCTTTAATAATGTAGATATGTAATGTTGTAACGCGAGCGAATGTCTCCGCAGCTCGGCGCGACACGACGCAACGCGACGCGTCAACCTCCCACCTCAACAAGTGGCTTCTGATCGCCTTCCTCTGTGTTACTTATCGCTCGTATCACTTGCAAATGTTCCCCGAATTTGCTGCTCAGTAAATTGGATACGGGATACAATATATTTGGAAATAATGCCAACATTGACGCGTTTCTTCCCACCAATTCACACACATTTTCTTTCATTGTAACGATATAAATTCGCTGTTTCTCTCCATACCTATTACTAAAACACTTTTTTATGATGTAGACCACAAATTATTGCATTTAAGTAAAATGACACTGGGAAATCTAAACATTAGTCATTTTTAAAATATCTAAAAATCTTAAATGGCATAAAACACGTCTAAAGACCGGTACCTCGCTATAAAAACTCTTCAGCTGATTAAGTAGAAAATATCAGTATGTTCATTGTTGTGCAACAATATGAACGTGGTGTGAACAAGGGCGCGGCTCAACGCGGTGGTAAACCCGCGCTGTGGCGCCGGGACACGCGCGGCCAGTAGACGTAATGTAGTACCTACTGTTATGTTCTATTTATTTAATTCTACTAATATTACATTCAGGCAATGAGGCATAATATTTTATTATTCAAGCCCTTTCAACAATTTATTATTTAACATACAAACGAGCTCTGTTAGTAATATCGAGCCGAAAGACCTTGGAATCGTATATTTTTATATGTTGAAGGAGGAACAAGACACGGCTGTATTTAATTTCATAGCAATAGAATTCTCAATCTATGAGCGACTTGAAAAACCGCAACCATATCAAAAAATGTTAAAGAATTTTGCATCTTGTGATGTAGCCGAAATAGCTCAGTTGGGAGAGCGTTAGACTGAAGATCTAAAGGTCCCTGGTTCGATCCCGGGTTTCGGCAATCTTTTTGCACATATTTGGAAAAATAAAATATAATTTGCCTTTAAAAGAAAATCTCAAAGTTTTTATCGTAACTAATAAAGACTTGTAGATGTGCAGACAGATAAAGACAAAAATGAATGTTTGCCGAAACCCGGGATCGAACCAGGGACCTTTAGATCTTCAGTCTAACGCTCTCCCAACTGAGCTATTTCGGCTATGATCAACATTTCCTAACTACGTAAGAGAGGTGCTTATTACTTGGAACATTCAGATGACGATTATTGTGTTGTAGCTTTTATGAAATGCACAAGTTCCTATAAATATATTTACTAGACTTACTTATTCTTACTTTGTTACTTTCGTTAACCAAAGCTAGTGTGGGTAACAAAATTAAAAGTCATCTATACAATTCATAAAATAGGAATGCTTGTATGTTATATCGAGAAAAAAAAACTCATTTCTTGTGTACACTACTTATAACCAATATACATTTTTAAAATTATTGTCTGTCTGTCCGTGTGTCCACAAACTCGTGGTTATCTACAAAAACCGGGTAATCTACAAAGCGGCTGGACCGATTTTGACGCAACTTTTTGAGGAAGGTAGCTTATGTGTGCGGGAGTAACTTAAGCTATTTTTTTTATTTCTGTGCTAACGAAGTGATACGATGTAAGTAGAGTTCATCAATAGCTTAACACTGCATATATTTATTTCAGCATATTTTACAAAATAATGATCGTTTTCAGAGTGGATACTGCAATAACTGCGCTGTTCATACAACGAGCGAGATATGTAAGTGATCACAAACGCAACAGTTATTGTCCTCCCGATTCGTTATTCACACAAATGGCATATTTACAGTAATACATATGTTGTGAGAGATACGCCGCGCTGCCGCCCCGCCGCCGCGCCGCAGCCGCGCCGCCTCCGCGCCGCGCTGCCGGCAAACTTCATTATTATTGTTGTTACTGGTTGTATACTGTCTTATCATTGGCTATTTTTGTAATTGCTAGAGAGCAATCAACATTTTTGATTGATAGTTTGGTTTTATTAAATACAATACTTTAACATTTTAACTTCTTTAATCTATTATCGAATGATGAATATTAAATGTTCTGTGAAGAACCCTGGGTCCCACGTGTAGTCTTTCAATCCCATGTCAGAATTATGAACAAAGGACAAGTTAGTATTTCTTGGAAATATTTTTTTTACTCCCTCATGTCCTTGGCAATGCTTTTAATTAAGTGCTGTATACTTCAACAACTTTTTTTTATCAAATTTGACTTTTTGTGTTATTTTTATAGGAGTCGTTGCATTTGCAAAGCAAGGTCGGAGTCTGGCACGTTTAATGTCAAATTAAAGGTCATATAGTATGCTAAAAATATATTTGTGTTATATAATAATTTATTTATTTATAAAGTATGCATATTTGTTTCAAAACAATGTAATTAAATACATTTTTCATATTTAGTTTTGAGTGCGATAGTCCTATATTATCCCACAATGTTTACTGTGACTTGTGCTACATTTTATTAAGAAACTGTTACTCTTTCAGATACGGACTTTGGCACAGTTATTTCAAATTATTTCTAGAAGTGTTGTCTGTCGTAAAAATTATATTTTATACTAAAAACAATAAAAGCTATAGATTATGACAATGATATGAAAATCCTTTATTATAATATAGCTTCATCGTCGCACCAGATACATTAATTTTACCTAACTATCAGCTTTGGTTTGGGGTCGTTGTCATCATGGAGCTTACTTACTTAGTTATCTGCTCTAACGCCGTCTGAGACCTCGTAACTATTCCAATAACGGACTTTAAGTGAAAACTTTGCGATATAAATCTAAATTCTTTGGTAAGGCCTGAAGGTCTGTGTAGCGAGAAATGACATTTATATAGCAAGATTATCGTAATAACGGACCCCGCTGTAAGGTCCGTGAATATTAGAGTGGCGGCGTAATGGCCGCTCGTAGGATTTATTGCTAACATTACCACTTTATTCATGATTGCTGTTGACATTTTGTTATAAATTAAAAAGTAATTAGTAACTTAACATTTCATCTAACGCTTTGCTCATAACTCAATTGTCCCTAAACAATTTTTTAGAGTTTGAATGAGTCCTTAATCGGTTTAGTTTGAAAAAAAAAATGGAAAAGCAGTATCATATATAGTAGTTATACATTCGGTTCACAATATTATCGTGTCAGGTAAACATTAACATATTGGTTCAAGCCGGTTCGTATTCCAACCTTAATTATCTAGTTTGGCCTCACGCCTGCTTCAATGAACAAAGATACGAGAAAATTACACTGAGTAATGAATCCTATAATTATATAACTACATTTATACATATAACAATGTTCATATAAACTGCAAAAAAACCTGATTATCGTGAGATAGTGTTTCACAGATTGACTGCAGTCGGCAACGGTCGCGCATAGCGGGCAACGCGTGCCTCTGCCCCTTGCTCGGTTAAATAGTTTTTGTATAGAAGTAAAGAACAGATAAAGTTTGACAACGCGACGGCCGCGTCTTTACTCAATACATAAAATACAATTAACCAGTGACTTTGGGAATTGATATTTGATAAATGACGTAATGTAAGTATTTAATAAAAATTATTGCTAATTTATATCTAATATATATAGAAAAATGTAACGCTATAGAGAACACTTTAACATACATCTTGCAATTAAATATTTATTTATTCAAAATGTACACAAAATGTCAGTTAAACACAATGTAAACAAAAGTATCTGACATAACAATAAGCCTTATTATATTAACAATAAGATAATGCTTAGTCTACATTTCTTAATGAATATTCGTAGTAAGTTAACTATGTAGTAGCAAAGGGCTTCCTTGTAATAAGTACGTTAAATATCAAGGCAAGACGCGGCTTCGCAATAAAAAGACACAAACTGGTCCAAACTACTTTGTTTTTTAGCGTTTAAAAAAAATCATTTTCGTTTTAATAAATTCTGCAAACAATAAGATGTGAAAAAATAAATAAGAAAAATACTCAAATATATATTTTAATGGGCGTAAACATAATTTATGTTATATATAATAAAAAGTTGTTTTTGTAAGTAGATGGCGACTTATAAGTATTCACTACTCACTGTGGAATTCCGAGACCAAAACCTCGTTTAAAACATATTGTTATCTCTGTTTTGTCAAACATAATGACAGAGATGACGATATGTTTTTTACAGATATTTTCGTCTCGGATAGTCGAATAAAGGCGAGTACACAACAGCCGGCATATATTTTTTAGTTTATAAGGAAAAATAGGATTAGATTTGAGTATTTAACATTTAATTATTTTACTAGCTGAATCCAGCATGTCCTTAAAGGTCAAAGTCAACTGATGTCAAAGTCTAAATAACATTAAATGTCATAGTGTAAGCAAAAAGTTTTAATAAACCTAAACATATACATATGTCATTTGTTTATATTTATGTTGCTTCTGTAGCGTTCAAAGAACATCCCTTCAATCATATCTTGTCCAGTGATGTAACATAAGAAAAACATAAAAGTTAAATTATGTTTTGTGTTATTTAATCACATTTATTTAAATAATTTACTAAACCTCTGACGTAATCAATGACAAATTGCGAAATCAGTATATGGTACTGTAAAAGCACAAACTTCAGTAAGTCTACAATTAAATTGCTTTTACTAGAAGTCTATCTTCTGTGTAGTCGTGATATTTAACCGGTCAAGCCGGCTGATTCGTGCAGCAGATATTATTGGTGGCCTCCGCCAATGTTAAAGTTCTAGATTATCTTCATTCAACAAATGTGATCAAAACGTGACCCGATATTTTGTAATTAACTATTTTAAAATCTTAATAACGAAATTTGTTCCAGTACATATAAAAAGACGAACGGAGAAATGAAGATGACAACACCAAGTCTTGTAACACCGGCGTGTGTACTGGCGACCCTGCTGCTCTGGACGACAGCCTCCTCAGGTAATCTTGGTTTAAGCAGATTTTTAGCAACCATCAGAATATTAGCGCTTCGTGAATTAATTGTCAACCGCCATTTGTTTAAAGTGAAAAACTAGGTTTTTTAATAAGAAGTTTCACTTGTAGTTACTGTTGTTTTTCTCTCTGCGATATGCGAAAGCTTGTCCATGTTTCTTCCAATGGATCCCATAAATTATCGAATGATTATAAGAAGTGCTCCCCGTTTCGTAGCACTATATGGCAACCATGACTCCTATATTTGTATAGCAAAAGCTTATATCCTAACCAAAGTTATTAATATTCTAAGTGAGTTTCGCGATCGGTTGAAGCTCGTGTAGAAAAGTTTACGTGTTTGAGTTTACTTTTGAGCGCGCGGTATCGTATAACGTCTACTGACACGTGCTCTGTGCGAACTTAGAACATGACTTTGATAATAAGGATAGAAAATTTAACTTACCAGCCTTGTGCGAACCACAATGATGAGTTATGTGTCCATCAAACTAACATGGTCGGTAGGAGTGTTCATCTCGAACCTGTCGGAGGCGTGCTACCGCTGCTTATGCTACGTGTCGACGGAGTGCAACACCGCGCACGGCTGCACCGGCGGCTACTGTGGACCCTTCAACATCTCCCGCGTGTACTGGAGCGACGCCGGCCGTGTCACCCTGCTTGACGACGATCCCCAGAGGAATCATGGTCAGTATATCGCCTACCAATGTTTCTCTTTTATAATTATATTCAGTATTCAAGTATAATATAATTTATATAATCTTGTGTTTTCGGCAGCGTGGGAGGACTGCGCTAGAAATTACATCTGCGCCAAGAGAATCGTCGAAGGATACCTGCAAAAATATGGAAAGGTAGTATTATAAAAAGAAAATCAATTCCATAGAGATCTTCTATAGTGTGAACTACTGAACCGATTTGGACGAGTGAGGGTCAATGAGAATAGTTAATAGTTTCATGCATTAATGCTTGCAGGACTGCAACAGCGACGGAGTGACGGACTGCTTTGACTTCATGATGATAAACGGCAACGGGGGAAACGGCTGCACCTCGCCACTCAGTAAGACGGAAAACGGCCGTCGCTGGCTGCGCCGGTACCAAGACTGCCAGCTCGTCATCAAAGCCTGACCACTTGCAGTGGCAGAGCGTAGTGATTATGTCAAGTTCTAATTAAAACCAACATTAATTACACTGCTTTTATTTTTTATTGTTGTTAACGTTACATTTATTTATATGGACTCCACATATGCGTTAATCATATAAATAAGAATGGATTTTTGAAATTCCTATGTAGATTAATTAGTGCATAGTTGTTGGGTCGTGTTTTGAAGTCGTTATAACCCGTGTGAGTGGATGCACACAGCATCCTCCCCGCCCCGCCTCTCGCTACCCTCACCCCCCTCCCTCGCCCACAGACACCGGGCTCACATTTCCGACGCATACTCTGCGACTTATGAAAATCCCTTTGTTGTGAGGCACCAAGCGTGAAAATCTGCATCCGGCAAACATCCCTCGAACATCCCCCGAACACGGTAAGCCTCGTTGTACCTACTTAACATATATTAAGTTTGGAATTAATAATTATTTATAGATATGCGATATGCTGTAAAACATATTTTAATAATAAGTATTTTATAACTCACAATGAACAATTATAATATCAATTATATTTTATCAACTAATAAAAAAAATTGCCATTGTCAAAAATTGATCATTTTTAAAAATGATAAGTAAACTATTACACTACATGAGTGCCACGTGGTAGAAGTAAGAGATATTAACAATAAGTACAACATAATAACATTTATATATTAATTAATTCCTCCCGCGATAATCGACAGCATTACAAACAAACAGAACACTCTCTGCTGTGTTTGAACACCGCTTTACAAACATTTCATTACGCTTTAAAATTATTTATATTATATTCATTCAGATGCTACACTGTAAGCTAAAAATTCTTGTTAAAATACGTGTCCGTCGGTATGTAACTGATATTTGTAACTTAAGCTGGCAGCCATTCTTATGTTTGTAACAAATATGATTGTAATAAGTACATTTACCTTAAACAAAAATATATTCAAAACGAACCATTTAATAAGAGTTCATCAGTTAAATGTCGCTTAGGTAACGATGCTATTGCTACTAGGAGTTGGTTATACAACGGCGGGCTACGTCCTGTCAGTTTGCATGTCATAAGGTTCATTACATGCCACGTGATCCCGCC